CCTCCAGCCGACAATAAAAATCAAAATAAAGGAGAAGGCGCTCTTCTCCCCCCCTCATCCTGGCTGTTTAAAAAAAAAGCGTCCCCTCCCTCTCCCCCCGCTGCATTTGCATTTTTAATGGGTCTAAAGCCCCTCTGGTGGACTACAGAGTCCGGCTGGCTGCAGCAAGCAGCTGCTAAGAGGCGTGGCGGGGGTGCCCGGTGCTTTCGATGCAGCAAGAGCCACTCAACTCCAGCGCACCTACTCTTGTTGCACCGGAGAGGGGCAGAGATCAGTCACCCCCCTCCCCCCAGTCCGGACTGTGCTGAAGAAAGCAGGACGCTTAAAGTCTCCCAGAGCAAGTCACCCCCTCTCCCCCATCTTAAACCATAGTTTAGAGCTCAGATCCGTAGAGAAGTGTGGGCGAGGCATGCAACAATATGGAGAGGAACGTGCTTCGCTGCCCCTACCCTTCCCAGACATCTCCCAGAGACACAGCCTCAGCGCTTACCAACGGGGTACCTCCGGGTATGCCAGTTCCCTCCCCTAACCTCACTACCACCAATTTGCACTGCCCCCCCCAAAGGGGGGGCACGCTAGCAAATTTCATACTAGCTGCCAATCTACCTCATCAGAGGTATTTTTTTTGGCTATTCACACACAAGTCTTCCAGACAAAAAGCTAATGCACGTTGTAGATGGTTGGCTTTCCGACCCATTCTGAATATCACATCCCTCAATTAATGAGCAGCTTGCACCCAACGCAAATAACGCAGAGATTTTTATCTGCTCCACTCCATTAAGAAAAAGATCTGGGCTACAAAACCCTCCTACCCATCCCCATAAAGCAGTGAAAAAGCCATCTCTGTGCGTTGTTCTCAAGATAAAGGCTTTGTCCAGATCCTCCATCTCGTATGCTCGAAGCACATCGAAGGGGGAGGAAAAACTACACAGGATGCAAGGGGAAAAAAGTCCAAGTTTTGCGTTTTTAATTAAAAAAAAGAAGTGTGCGGAGATTACCTGTCCATTCGCCTTGGAAGGTGATGCAGCCACTGCTTCCCCAGGTTTCTCAGCAGCGGCTTCGCCTTTTGCAGCGGTCTTGGAGAACTGGGCACCCATGCTGTCTTATTCAACAAAGAAACTCAAGAGATCCAAAAGGAGGGGAACAAAGAGCGATGGGTTGGTATAAATACTGGGCGATCACCAGCAGCAGCAGCAACACACACACACCAGAGGGGGAAAAAAGAGAAGAGAGAACAGAACCGATTTATATGCACTCCTATTTAAAAATGTAAATTGAAGACATCAAAAGCAGCAGCATAGAAGGAAGGGGGGAAAGGAGGAAAAGAAGCCGAGCAAAAAAAAAGCCCAAGTTAAGTAAAAAGAAGTAATAAAAAATCCCAGATTTGTAGCCGTACTGTAGACAAGGGGAAAATGGAGAAATCTCCCTGGTTGCTAATAAGATGCGGAGTCCAACGCCCAAGTGCACAGATGAATGGGCTTCCCGAGCGCTGACGGCAGCCCCCCGCCCGTCACCGACCAATCACGGCGCCGCCAGACAAAGGAGGGGGCGGGGCTTCCAATTGGAGCGAACAATGGAGCCGCGATTGCAATAATTTGAAATCAGCCTTTGACTGATAATTAATACCCCGAAAATAAATAAATTAATGGAAAAATGCATGCACTATGTTTTTCTTCACTTAAAAACGATGATGCATGGGTTTATTGCCCTTTCTTTTAGGAGGTGAATTCACATTCCAAGGGGATTTCATCTGACTTCCCGTGGCTCCGTTTGTGTGTCTCTGTCTCTCTCCCCCATTTGGTTCTGTGTTAAATTAGAGACAATGGTGTGACTTGTGTGCTTGTGATTTCATCCTCTTTCCCCTACTCCATCTCCCTCCCCCTCCCCCCCAAGCCCCCGACTGCAGAAGATCAACAGTGTGCGAGGGTTTGAGTTTTGGATTTAATTGGTTCCAATTGTTCTATCGCCCCAATTTGGAAGGTATTTAAACCACGTAGATCCATCGAGTTTTGCCAAACGAGATCACGAGTTGAAATTAGTAGGTCTGTAGGCCAGATGTTGAAAATGCTAAAAGCAGCCGCGGCGGCCGCCGAAAAAACAAAATCAGACCTTTCCCCGCCCCCAGCAATATTGGCTTCAAATAAAATATTCTGCAATTAGCCTACGGCTCTAATTAAAGTCTGCTGTCTGATTATCTTTGATTTGTATTTTTGAAAACCTGTTTTCTGAGCCTGCGTCCATTTAGATTTTTCATGCATTAATTTAATGCATGAAGCGACGTTATCAGGGATATATCTGTGCTTTCAAAATTTTAAATTCTCGAATAATGCAACTTGAAACTCATTCGCTCGAAATAACAGTGATCTCGTGCACCAAGCAGCAATGACTTCCACGAATTACCAGGGATCTGAATCTCTTTTCTTGGGCGCTGGAGGGGCTTTTTGCATCTCTGACAGCCCAGGGTTTACCAGCTCGTCCCCTCCACCTCCCAGCTGAAATGGATAGACTACTGATTGGAAAGGCTTCCTAAACCTCTGTTTAAAAAGCAATAATGAAGAAAACTGACGGAATTACTTTTTAGAAAATCTCAAAACATTCTTATGAACAAGAATGTTACAACCATTAAAATAATCAAGGGTTCAGGATTTCAAGACACTCGTCCAAACCGCCCACCTCTCTGACCCCACAGATCACTGTGCTGCAGAATCTGATGATCTTTGTATGTTCGCTGCATTTCAATAACCCTAATATGGAACAATCCTTTATTTGTAGCAAAAGAAGAATCAGGGGAGGGGGTTTCGTTTCTGAGGGTAAAAAAACCGAGGGGGCATTTGTTTTTTAGATGAAGCTCTTATTCTCCTTGTGCTGCATTTCAAATATAACTTCCCTCCTGCGTTTCAATGAAAACGGATCGCATCGTGGAAAACACTTAGTACCAGCCTTGATTTCTTTGGTTTAATCATTATCTTTCTTTTCGAAACCAAGCTGAAAATCTGTAACGATTTGGTTTTATACACACTGTTTCGGTTTGATGCCTTATTCAATCACCAAGTTATATTTCCCCAGAGCTGATGTAAACAGGGTTTTGCAGAAGTGCATCGTGCCAGCAAACATATCTTATCGCCCTTGAGGGAAAAAAACGCTGGCCAGCTATCGGCACTGATGGTTGAAGGAAGCCAACCCCTTTGTGTAAATGGGAAAGTCCCAAACAGAAACGTAATCTAGACAAATCCAGTAACATCCAGGCGTTTGTGAAATGCACTTTGGAGGAGGCTGTTGATTTTCTTCACCAGAAAAGCTGGAAAAAATACCCTCCATCTGCACATTTTGTGGTTGCTGTGTTAAATTGCTGTGGATCCTAGCAATGTGGCGAGGCGCGTCTCCTCCAATATATGCACAGAGACCAAAAGGACTTGAGATGTTTCTGCAGAACCCCATGGAGGGGAGGGGAGGGGAGGGGGGGGGAGGATTCCTTTGTTACCCGGCTACATTGCTTTTGCAGTGTGCTCA